ATAGATAGATAGGTAGATAGATAGATAGATAGATATATAGATCTATACCACATCATCACATTTCCGGCATATCTCCCCAAGTCTTCGACAAGACTGGCCAAACTTGAGATTGTTTACATCCCCAAAAAGGTAGAAGAGTATAGAAAAGTAAAATCATACTAGATAATTGGTAAGTTTACTACAAACCACAAACCTTGATTTCACAATACCCTTTCACAAAGATGTTCTTATGATTAACAAGGTGAATCATAACAGTTAGTCATATGTTCTACCATCGACCTCGTATTAAGAACGATCAAAGCTGTGGTTTCTCGAAGCTCTCGTTTAAGGCCCCACGCTGCGGCTCCTGCGGCCTCCATGGACATCTTTTACAGCGCCGCCTTGGACGGCCAGGTGAAGTTGTGGGACCTGCGCTCCATGCAGGAGATGGGGCCAGGAAGGGCCAGGATCTTCATCCCCCTGATCTGAGGGAATGATGTGGTTGGAGTTCCATGGGTTAATGGAAGCCATGAAAAAGCAGCAATGAAGGGATGATTTGCCATGATTTGCCGATTTTGTATGATTTAGTTTGGGGGCTTCTGGGCGGCTTGACAAGTGGCAAGCTTTGCACATCTTCGCACCTTGAAAAAAGTTCCCTTGACTAAATTTTGGGTGCATGGATGCGCATGGGTCAAGTTATGTCAAATTATTTGGGAAACGTGGAGGTATGCTGCAAATAAATCTCATGCCAACAGGCACACAGCCGTATCTAGAATAGATGAATAGGCCATGTGGATCTTGATTCACGATGATTTGCTATTTTCAATGTGCTCAGAGAGAAGAAAATCAAAATCCTTCCATGACAAGCGAAGAGCATGTAGAGGATATGTGGGGATTGTCTCAAAATTGGGATCCGAAAACCATATGTTTTATCGGTTTATCCTTGTACCCATCACTGGCAGCGACAGGAGTGTCAATCCTTTCGAGGAGGCCCAAGGGGTATCCATGGGTATCCAGGACTCATTTGTGCATGTGGAATCATGTGGTTGGTGATGGTAGGTGATTTCAATTAGGTTATTTTTGATTATTTTTGTATATTTTTGTTGGGTCCTATAAAAATGTTCCTCTATTTAATCTCCTGCATCGCTACGGTGGCTCAAATACCAAGTAGACTTGAAATTGCTGTGCAGACTTCATGACTTCTTTGTGCTGTGCAGCAGCAATGCCACAATGTGTAACTGTCAGTGATTGACATGATTGATGTTGTTGATTTTGTAACATCCTTTGGCTGAACCTTGCCGGAGGGGGGTGGGGGCAGGGCGGCCAAAAAATTCAGGGAATTCGTCTCCATGGGTTGACAGTTTTTTGCAAAGAAACAGTTAGTGGCAAATTAGAGAAACAAACATATGCAGCAAGATAGCAGAGCACTCATGTTTGCAGATTATTAAGGGCATGCATATTTAGCTTGGAGTTTGCTTTGCTGTTTGATTTGTTTATTTGGGATGATCACACTATGAAAAGTTTAGTTGGTCAAAATCATCCAGAAGAAACATCCTGTCCATTTGGTTCACCTGTCGGCCGGACCAAGATCTTTCAACACAAATATGTACTTGGAAGCAATTCAGCTGGAGAATTATGATGCAGCTGCCTTAGAACGTGTGCATTGAGAAACCATGGCATTTTTTTGGAAATGGGTTGCCAAGAACGCATTTGGGGAATCAGTTCGGCCCAGAGCATTTACTTGCAGAATATTCAAAAACCGAACATGAAAATTGAGAACATAAATAATGAAAATGGGTTGTTTCAACAATTTTGGAGCACCTTTGATTTGTGGTTTGGTCTGACCAAAGTGGGACCCCCAAGGGAGCAAGATCCAAGAGTCATGATTTGTCAGGTCATGTCCATTCGGCTCAACGCATGCGCTGCAGGCAAACTGTTTTCCAAGTTTGGAAATTTTCTGTGCTATAGATTTATCTATGAAATCTGAAATCATTGTTCGGATTAATTTGCATTGGTGAAGATCGTTTCTGCTTGGTGTTGTCAGGTCTGGATGCAGGTTGTTAGTTTCTTATTTTGAATTCCACTCACAAAGATCTCAACATACAAATTTCACATTTTTGAATCAAATTTAGACACATTGGCACAATTTGGCAGGTTTTGATCACTTTTGGACCCGCACTTGCCTCCAAGATGGACACATTGGATTGATTCTGTCAGTGAGTTTGGGTATAAAATTGCTAATAACAACAGTCACATGGCATATAATGTGGGTAAAACAATGCCATAAACCACCCATGACTGGGAATGGTAAACATACCACCTATAAAAATGGTGATGACTGGGGGATGGTTTATGGCATTGTTTTACCATGTTTTACCCATATATTTAAGCATTAGACATTTCCTGGCTGAAGACCTCATAGGCTGAGTTCCTGCTTGCGCTACTTGGGTGTGCCATCTGAAGATGGTTCTGTTTGTGCCAGGGCCTCGATGGGGAACTTGAAACTACTGTGGATGGTTGCGCCAGTTCACAGATGGTTTACCCCATTATTTATAGGGTTTCAACCATCCAAGGTGGTGCATGATTTCTTCCATCAGTATGACCAAATCAACTGTTTTTTGGAGTGAAAACTGCACATCCCATTGCTTGGTTGCCAGCTGGGCCCCAGCACATTCAGATATGTTTGAGGGTTTCAGTTCATGGGATACTACCACCCAATTTACCAAACACAAACATCTAACTTTGGCCGGATCATTCCAGATCTGAGTTGCCTAATTATGTGCATTAGGATTGCAATGTTTGGATATAACAACCCCAAATGCAGTAGATAGAACAGATAGAACAGTTGAAACCTGGAAATGGGGAAGACATCATCTATGGGGAAGACATCATCTAGAACATCGGTCAGAAATCCGAAAGAACCAAACAGTACCAGGAATTCGTGTTTTCCACACAGTCACCAAGCTTGTGCGATGTTCCATTTTTCACAGGTATACGATGTGAGAAACGGACAAGTCTTGGGCACCAAGCATTGTCATCGGGACCGGGGCTTCGAGATGGTCTGGTCGGTGGCGTTTCTGGGTTTCTGATGTTCCACCCCGGGATGACGCTTGGGATGACAATAGCTGACAGAAAATATGGATGTTCATTGGTGGTTTGGAACCATGAAATTTTAAATTTTATGACTTTCAATTCAGTTGGGAATTTTTATCATCCCAACTCACGAACTCCATCAATTTTCAGAGGGGTAGGCTCAACCACCAACCTGTTATGTTCGTTGGCATTGAAACCACCAATCGGATACTAACTTAAGTACAGAGTATAGCTCATTTCCATGATTTTCCCAGAAATTGAGGGTGAATGAGTTCAAAAGATCATTTTTGGAAAGATTGCCCAAACATTGCCTAAACATATTCGAACCCAAAACTCATTGTGGGTCTGTCTGAAAATAGGCTACCCCATTCCATCCAACTGGTTCATACTGGTTCATCATCATGTTATATTCCCTATCAAAATGCAACGTTTGAGGAAATCCCCATGTTTAGACGCACGCAGATTATTATATTGTAGACTATAGTGACTATCCCATGACACGTCCAATATAAATCCCCATGCTTGATAGTTGAAGCCAGTATGCTCCTACTGATTAGAGGTGTGCCAATCAGATGTCTACATGTAATCACAATATATATATATATATACAGTATATATATATATATTATATTATTATAATTAATTATATATATATATACATATTTTTTGGTATAATTTTGGTAAATATTGAATATTATATATATATAATCCCTGGAAGCTGTAACAACCAGAAATGTCTCAATGTTGTTTCCCCTACGGCAGTGAAGAATCCCGACTCGACCATGTTATCCTCATTGTTGTTGCTTTTATCCCATAGATTCCTATAATTTCCCCATAGAATTACTGTACCATGTTTGATCATGTCACATCCGGTTGATTCCTCAGGGGTTGGTCATTTCGTGTCCTAACTGAACATCACCTGACTATCGGGGATTATACTCTTCAACTGATGCTAGAGTGATGTTCAAAATTTTCTGAACGGGACATTTAGCAAGCCCTAAAGGACCTCAGATAAGCCACCAACCAGATACATACAGCTTTTTATATAGAGGTTTCTTAAAATTGTGTACCCCTAGTTATCATCATTTACTGTAGTTCATAGTAGGATTTTCCATGAAATACACCATCCATGTATGGAAAACCCCTGCAGGATGCCTGTGTGGCAGTGGATCTTCAACCTCGCAGCGGTTCCATGGTGAGCTGTGGTTTCGACGGGATGGTCAGAAGCCTCAGTCTTCAGTGGTCGGCGGGTCTCCCAGGTTTGCTTGAAGATGCAGATGTATACATTGATATGACATGTATAATATATATATATATATACACATACAATATCATACAATCATATTGTATGATATTATGTATGTATGTATATCCACATTATCCACCATACAGACTACAGTGAATCTCATTGTGTCAATATAGTTCTGTTTCTTGGTTTGCAACATGCATGAAAACTACCAGTAGTTTGAGATACCAACATGGCAGGCAGCTGAATTTTACGACATCCCCTACCTTGGATGGGTCGTTTTAACAAACCTTTAGGACCTTTGTTGCTATGGAACATACCCTCTGGTAATGACTAACAGTTTGCTATTGAAAATGGCCCATAGAAATAGTTGATTTACCTATTAAAGATGGTGATTTTCCATTGCTATGTGAGTTTACCAGAGGGTAACCATAACCAGCAAAAGATCATTTTTTTGTGTGGACTATCAAAGATTGACCATGGAATTTTGGCACAGATTGGGGTGAGAAAATCAGCAACACCATACTTAAACAAAAACATGGTTTGTGCGTTCAACCCATCATAAAAGAATGCGTCCTAACTTGACAGCTCGTCAGTCCGTTGGTGCTGGTAATGACACCAGGCCACCCTGATTCTGGAGTGTTTCACTCACAGAAACCCAGGTTGACATCTATTCTTGTTCGGACGGTTTCTTGTACTACCTCATAGTTTTAGGATGTTTTAGGTACCTATTTTGTAGGTTCAGAAATTGTGCATCTCTATTTATTTGGAAACATTGTGATTCGACATGACACTGGAGTGTTCAATCAGAAGTCCAGCGAACCTTTAGTATGTTCCAGCTCCAGCTGCGACGTCGTGTATCCCGATGTTTTTCATCGGTGGAGGTCGATGTATCCCATATATTGCCGAGGTTCAATTCTTCCGTGCGCCTAGCACAGGTGGGGGGATCTGTCGAATGGAGGGCTTTCTGGACCTGATTTTCGGGAAATGAGACGAGACACACCGACCTCACTGCGACCGAACCAAGGAATCATGGTGAATATATAAAGGAAATCATCCCCAAATGGCCTTAATTCAGGTTAGTGACATATTATAACTTATACCTAGATACATGCAAAAACAATATGTTTGGGCAAGCAAAATAGACTTTGCAAACCCTTTTTTTTCCCGTTTGGTCCGCTCTCCCACAGAGACTCAAAGTACTTCACATATGTTCATCATTGGACCTGGTTTAGAATTGCCAGAGAACATCTACAGGAAACGTCAGGAAACCATGGTTTGTTATGACCTTTATATGATAACTATGGAAGTAAAATCTGCCAAGCGCTCAAATCTTCCCCACAATTTCTGGCGAAGTCACTGTCCCCCTGTCAACCTCCTAAAATGATTTTTTTGAAACGTTTCAGAACAAGAATGAGCATTCACCACTCGAAATGGATCATTCAATACTAAAAAGTGCTTGACATTTGTTTTTTTGCGGCTTTATTTTGTGGGCTTGTTGATGCCATCCCCAGATGCTCTCGTGAGTGCTGCGACATTTGAGCTCCCGATTGAGTGTAGAGGGCCCGTGGAAGCCGCTTTGTGATGCCAGCGATGCAGGTGCGGACTCCTGGCCTCACTGTAAGAGGAATCATCCCAAGAATGGTTTCAGTTTCCAGTTTAGGAATGTTTAGGAGTTTGTATAGTTTGCCCTGACGATTCCGGTGGGCACCGGTGGGCATTGGCTTTTGTCTCAGTTCCTTGGGTATGCAAGTCCACTGGCAGAAATGCTGAGTTAGTCTATGGTGGACATTCCATAGATAGTCGTGGAAGTTGTGGATATATGTAGATATGATTTCGGATCGTAGGAGATTATCATGGATTCAACCTCAATGCACATGTCCTTCTTACATTGATTACATGTTGTTCATTTCTACAGCCGACTCCTTGGCTGTGTAGAGGTATGTAGTCAACGTCGAAAATGGTGGCCGCCCCACGCCCTGACAGGCTGAATCCGTGCCATTGACGGGAGTGGAAGCAGACTATGTGGCACCCGCTGCCCGGGATACCTACTTCGAAAATGAGCCGAACCTCATTGCACCCTTCGACTTTGATTATGACCCTTGGTGAAAAATGGGATGATTTGGGCCAAGCATCTGGTGATTGTATATGTAAGTTTGGCATACCATAATATATATGTATATATATAATATGTACAGTATATACTACTGAATATGTTTTCCAAACTTTGTCTTACATGGTGGCTTGAATTGACATAACTTAGACATGGTTCATTACATGTTGTTTTGCGTTCCCTGGCATCCATGATCATTCATCATCCATCATTCATCATCTCAAAATGAGAAAATTCTCCAGAAGAAATTCCCTTCACCTCTGCACCATGCACCAATGCCATGGTTGACTGGGCTTTGGACCAAATCATGGCCCCAAAATCTACCCTCTGGTAATTCAACATAGCTATGGAAAATCACCATTTTTAATGGGAAAATCCACTATAAATGGCCATTTTCAATAGCTATGTTAAATTACCAGAGGGTACCACAGCTGATCATGATTGTCCCCAATTAAATCCAGTTACAGTAAAACGACAGGTTTGCGCAAACCCAGGTATGTATTTTGTGTTTGTTCTCCCACAGAACGGAAGTACTTTTAGACATGTTTCTGACTGAGAACAGCTTCCACGTTGTGATTCAGACATGATTTGATCACCCGAGAATGTTGTCCAAGGGATTTTGACACGCCCACTTCTGCAGGTAAAACACGTCGTATTTTTAAAGGTTTCTCTTTCAGGACACCACCAATATTTGTGTGGCTGAGAACTGTGTGGTTTGCTGCAGAGAATTTCTCTGGAATCTCAACATACCTAGTTGATTGTTCAAATTATTTGCAATATCAACATTGTTTTTTTTTCTAGAATCTAGAATTTCTCTTCTATGCAGTTGCTAATTTCTTCATCCCGGCTTCTCCGAGGATAAGATTATTGACTTTACGACCACCCTGAGTCTTGGCTATGTTGGCCCCAAGAACGCGCCATTGGAACCTGACAACATCCACAAATTGGATTTATCCAATTGTGGATTACATCTTCCTTGGCGCGTGTGAAATTTCAATGCTTCAGATTCAATAGCCCACACAGGTGCTTTAACAGGGGCTTGAAAGACAACTCTTCAGGGTTTATGCTGCATGGGGGGACGGTGTACTGTCATTTGAGCCATTAAACACTATTAAACATATATAATCATACCAGCGTTGATTGATTAAAATTTGAGATCATACTCAATAGATTGGGAATTATCATGGATTATCATGATCCACTATAGGAATCTCGTTCTTAACCAAGCTGGGACTAGCGCGACGTGGATGGTACGACTTGTGTCTCAATCAGGTGATATAAGGTCACAAGTCGTTACATGTCCAAGAATTCTATAGAATTGGTGTATTTTTCAAGAAATTTAAGGGACAATATGCAGAAACACATGCATGGTTTACTGATTACCGTGTCACAGAAAATGATGTATATATATATATACACACTTATCTGTAATGGTAGTGTTCTATCATCATCTACCCATATGGGGGGTTCCATAAATGGGGGTACCCCTAAATCATCCATTTTAATATAGGATTCCTATAAACTTAACCATCCAGCTATTTACCCCCAATTTAGGAACCTCCAATTTAAAATCCCAGTCGTCAGACTCGTCGTGTCGATCAACACGTCCGAGGAGATTTGCGCAGATTATGTTTTTGCCGCCCTGTTGGTGCAGCGTCTTTTGCTGCTCGCCCTGCTTCTTGAAGCGCCCTGGCGTTTGGTGGAAACCATGGGGATATCAATGATATATATATATATATATATACGTACACAATACATACATAGCATATCATAGCATTATATTATATATAGAACCCAGGTGTGTTTGTATGTATATATATATAACATATATGTCAAGTATGTCATGGTAATAACTCTAGATCCGATGCTAGTTGGATGCACCCCTGTTTGTAGGGCATTGTAAGAACCAACAAACTTGGGAATAGATTGAGGCTGGAGATTGTTTGAGTTTATTCAAGCAGAACATATTTAAATCATCATGGATGGTCTAGGATGCGGGTAGCATCACCCAATTGTAGACTGAATGAATGACTGAGTAGTGGCTGGCTGGCTCTCCTTCCTCGGCTGGCTGTGGCTGGCTGAAGCGAAGGCCAATGTACTTGACATGCTCTGGCTGTGGCTGGCTGGCTCTGGCTGGCTGGCTGGCTAGGTGGCTGGCTAGGTGGCTGGCTAGGTGGCTACATACATATACATATACATACATATAATATATATATATATATACATACAGACAGATACATACACATACCGGCAAGGGAGGGGGGGGACAGCCAAACCAAAGATTCGTCGAAGAACATCCACAAAAACCACGCCGGGCAGGCCGGCGGACTCACATGACACCTAGGGGTCTTTGGATTATTATCCCATTGGATGAGATGGCACAATGAACAAATAGATTTACATAAATATAATTAAATATATACATTTATATATATATATTGGGAAAGAGGAGTACTCAGTATCTCTTATTTGAACCCCCGAAAGACACTAAGTATATCACTACGAAACATCAGTAGGAGATTACTCTTAACTATCAACTTACCCTCCGGCAATCAAACATAGCAATGGACATTTATAGATGTGTTTCCCAACTATACACCTCCATTATTACAATAGTGTGTTTTTCATTATTAAGAACCGCCAATTACCATCAATCAGTATTATTGACCATCAATCAATGTGATTGAGTTGAGTATCACTAACGTCTCATTAGTGCATTACTGGTATCATTATTGCAAATTCCCATTTACCCTTTGGGAAACTAACATAACTATGGAAAATCACAACTTTTAGTAGGTAAATCATTTATAAATGGGCAATGTTCATCCATTTTCAATAGCTATGTTAGATTACCAGAGGGTATACCTCCACTTATTTTATAGCTGGTTGGTGGTTTGGAACATGAATTTTATTTTCCATAATATATGGGATAATCCTCCCAATTGACTTTCATATTTTTCAAGATGGTTAGAACCACCAAGTAGATCGTATCCTTGCTGAAGCCGGCAGAATGCGCCGAGGAAAAATGTGGAGTGGGACACGCGCTCCCAGCACTTGGCTTTGACCATCGATGGGATCAGGTGAGCAAACGCTTGGGAAATCACCATGAAAAATGGAGTTTTTTTTTGGGCTGGGAAAATCCATGCACTTGAAAAGACTCCAAAAAGGAAGTTTTGAATGGGAAAATCCACTCGAAACAAAAGTTTGTATGGGAAAATCATCTATAATTGTGGGTATGATAGCCCTAGAGGACCGCAGATTCGTTTTCGTTTTTAACAATCAAATGATTGAGGGGTAACCAGTTTTGATCCATACCCATTTGGAAACCAAGGTTACAAGAAGGGCCTCCCCCAGTTATAAGATGTTATAAGTTGGTTTATTCAGTATGAATGCCAGTTAAGCTGTTAAACTAATAATAAATCATGTTACGTATCTAGGGGCCCTCACTGTCGGAAATAATTCAGTTCTGAATAAAAAAAGCACTATGATGCGCATTCGTTTCATAAGTATTCCCTTAATTCCATCCATGTTGATCACATTCACTGGCAATCTTTCATATTTATATGTACGTTCCCTCAAACCACTCCATTTGCTCCTAAAGTTCCCGTTCATCATTTGGACCTGCCCAGCCAGGTACGTCAAGGAGAAGCGCAAGATGTGCTGGGGCCTCCACTGCTGCGACCAGGGCCGTGAGAGCAAGACGGTGCCTTACGACAAGATCACTGACTGCGACGTGCAGGAGACGTTGGCGACGCCATGGGATGCCATGGGGGGACTACCCTTGAGTTTGTATAGGTGACCAGCACCACCGCAAAAGATAGAAAAGTAGATTCCTACTAAAATCGGGGGTACTATTAGCATCAAGTATTTGTTACTGATTAGTCATGTACACATTATTATGATTTATTATGTATATATATATATATTTGGGGGGGGAGATAATTTTGAGCCATGTACATCCTCAATTATCGGCCCTTAAAAGGAAAACTGATGGATCATAGGAATTTGGGGTACCCAATTTGGTAGGCTGAACCGGTGAAACGGGCTGCAGTCATTTTTCACTGCCTTCAACCTATTATTGTATTCTTTTTGACCAATCCCTTCCCTTAATATATCTTAATATTAAAGACCCCCCGAGAAACATCCAAGGTTTAGCAGGGGATTTAGACATTTAAAGTGACCATTTGGGGGGTGTGGAAAAATGTCAGGATGGGATTCAAGTGACTATTTCTTTTTCCCGCCTAAACGTGTTTAGTCTTCCTATCGAAGCTTCTTTTCCTGGTTCCCTTTGTGAATTTTGGTGGGCTGTATGTTCTCTTGGGCATGGCAACCCATCGGCATGGACGCGACATCGCAACTGGATGATCCTGGAAAATGTTCGAAGTGAGGAAATGTATGGCTGGATTCTACAGCTTTTTCCACAGACACCTCTGTTTTTCATTGGGAGATCATCAGAATTGCCCAGGTATCGACTAGTCATAGTCCATCGCCATATCTATCGCCATAGCCATCGCCATAGCCGCACAGGAACCAGCGGGGACTGCTTGCTGCTGTTGCATTCCGATCCTTGGAGAAGGTCCGCCAGGTGACAAAGGTTATCTAACCAAGGTGGAAAAAAACAACAATCAAAACTTGCGTAGACTGAACCAAGTATTGCATTTTGATATTGACATCCAATATTCCCTGAAAATCCAAAAATCCCAGGAGCTCGTGAAATTTGATATCAACAATGGGGGGTTTGAGACAGTTAAATATTATATATATATATTATAGCATGTTTAATACGTGTTTGACTCCAATGTACAATGGATTTGGATGTGTCTGAAAATGGACAATGCACTCTGGAAATTGTTATGTTTAATGGGGAACATGATGATAGACCAATGCGTTTTGGGATACACTGTTTTCAGATGTTTTCAATGCCCAATTGTTGGTAAAACTATGATTTTTGTTATTGACATTTATTTCTATGCAGTATACAGATTTATCAATGTCAATTTATACTGCTGTTTATCATATCCATTGCTATGATCTGCTATGTATCATTTCAATATATATATATATATTATATATATAAAACTAGTTACATCAATCTACATATACATATACATATACATATACATATTTATATATAATGTTCATGTTTGTTTTATCCATGGCTGTTTCTTCATATCACCATGCAGTTATGCACTCCTTCCGCCCCGACCTCGACCGATTTGCTGGGACGCTGAGGAACGTCCTCTCCAAAGTGCATGTTGACACAGCCTCCAGCGGCGTTGGCGAAGGGGGCAAGGTGCGGAGACAAAAAGCGCAATTTTGATGACTTCCTACCAGACATGGGGGCAGTGAAATATACATCATATTTTTTTCAAACATGGCTTCTCAGATATTTGCAATATTTTACAATCTATGTTTCAAGCATATAATGAAATGATGTGAATATGGGGAAAAGCCAGATCCACAACAATTTCAACATGGAATATTTGTCCAAAAAATGGTGGATTTACGTCCAATTCATGGCCGCTAAGTAATGGTCAAACGCTTCTTTTCCACCATGAAATTTGGGGTACCTTATGTTCAGACAGTCCGACCATGATCATTGTTCATCATTGTTCCATGTGTATATATATATATATAATTATGTATATATATATAATTATGTATATATATACACATATAATAATTATACATATATATATATACACATAATTATACAAATATATATACATGTATATATTATATAGATGTATTGCGTACCACTAAGAAACGACTATTTGAAGGAGTAATGACGGCAGTGTCAAAATCGTAAACCCCAACGACTCAAGAATCACGCATTGTATCTCATTGCATACTACTGAATGACATTCAATGTTTCTAATGATTGACATTCAATCAAGTCTGATCCTTGGCATTCAATATGTGATTATATTTCATGTTCATTCTCTCAACACATTGTTGGACACTTTTGATCCATGTTCTTGTCAATGTGTTTGTCCATTGAGGACTGCCATTGTTGCACTTGGTACTGGTTGGTGGTATGAAGTGTGCTTCTTTTTACTTTACCTGGAACGATCCTCCAATGACATTATCACCAGGAGTGGCTTTCTTGAAGTTGTTTCACACTGTGCCTACCCTGAAAGCCTGACAACCTGTACTGTATCTAGTCTTGGTATATTCTGCTACATCAACCGAGCAGCCCTACTGCAGAATGCTGTTTTGACACCGCCATGATGTCCCAGCATCACCCTGCAGTTGAGACATGAACTGGAGTTTTACGGCTTGATGGATGCACATGCTTTCAAGCACTCAGCCACTTGGATGGTGAGTGGTTTATGTTCAAGCTTCTTGTTGTCCCCAAAAAATTAGAGAAACAATACAGTAAACCTCCCTTCAAAAAAATCATTCATACATGTTGCATACTATCTATATATATATACATACACATAGTTTCCTTATTTTTTTCTGGAACCCTGGTAGGGAACACTATTTTTCAGGGGTAGCCGCGGGACTGGTCTCAGCCCATCCCATTTTTGAATCTTCTTCGCTTCAGCAAGGAACAGGCTATGTAAGAACATGTTCTTAGATACCCCGGGCCATTTAGGCCCAAATGGCATTAATGTGGTTACAACAATCATATAAACTACCCATGGCTGGGAATGGTAAACATACCACCTATAAACATGGTGATGACTGGGGGAGTTTATGGCATTGTTTTACCCACATTCCTGCAGATTCAGCCACATTACTGGCCAAGTCTGATTTGTTCGAATTTTGAGATGTCAAAAAACAGGGTACCCAGGATTAATATAATGGTTAATATCATGGTTATTATAATTTGGTTGGTGGTTTCAAACATGACTTTTATTTTCCATCATATTTGGGATGTCATCCTTCCCCGTGACTCATATTTTTCAAGGTGGTTATTGCACCACCAACCAGCAGTAAATCTGAGGAGTGGCAGGATTACAACACCCGTAGTTTCACTACGGATCTCAGCATTTGTGAAACATAAATCGTTGTGTGGATTCATTACTAATCCATATCAATCCCATCTTATCATATGTATATGTATATGTAGCATGTTTATTTATCTTTGGATGGCACCATTGGGGATTGATCAATATTGATCAATTGAAACTATAACTTGATTCATAAAATGGTTCTAATTCGCCCACTGTGGGTCCATGGATCTTTGGCTGACATGAATGTGGGAATCCCCGCGAAAAAACACTTCCCATTTTTGGTTGTAGCATGCTCCAAATGGTCCTGGTCAAGACATCATGAGTTTCGGCCATCCCTCATTGATACGGATTTATATATATATATATGTATACCCATGGGATTCCCATTTATTGGATGCATGACATATATACCTATATATATATATATATACACACATACTATATATCAATGGGAATTTCAGGATCCTAAAATGGAGGTATACCATATAAGGCCATATTTTGTGGGGATATTCCCTTACATAGGCCTTATATATGGTAGGTACCTCCAATTTAGGTTCCTGAAATGGCCATTGCATATATATATACAAGGTTTTGAAAGGTGTTGACCATGGCACAAATGATCATTGGTATGTCATGGGTCACTATGATTTGGTTGGCATAGATCCCCTTATATCCCATTATGTGCCCATAAGTTGATGATTAATCACCCATGATGTGATGGTGATGCTGAAATCATCTTAAATTCCTATTTCTGATGCTTCAAAATCTATGTTTGCGGTGAAATCCCCTCAGTTGGATGTTGAAATCCCAACTGTTCATGGTTTAATCCCTGGTGAAATCCCTGGTTGCACCGTGAACTCTCCATTTTCAGGTGGCCCCATCGCCCCATCGCCCGAGGTGTGGGCCATGAAACGCCGCGTGGCGCCCAGCGGGGCCCAGGTGCCGATGGGCGGCTTGGCTCCGCCCAACCAGCAGGACATGCAGACGACGCTGCTCACGGAGCCGCAGGGGATGGGGAGATGGTCGCCATATGTCGCCATGGCACAAAACACACGGGGGCTACCCTCTGGTAATTTAACATAGCTATTGAAAATGGCTATTTATAGTGGATTTTCCCAATAAAACATGGTGATTTTCCATAGTTATGTTAGTTTACCAGAGGGTACACCGGAGTTGTGATGCGGGGATGGGTCAAAACTGGGGGAATGAACATCAAGGGATGACGGGATTATGGGATGATGGGATGGGATGATCAGATTCAGCAACTTCGAATCATGTTTTGGACGCTGGGAATTTGTCCAACGGGGCATCAAAGCATAGGGAACTTGTGATAAAAAAGGGGTTATGATACAGTAAAGGTCAAATGAGTTAAATGTGACATATATCAACTCTTTCAAACTAGGATTTCAGCAAATCCTATCTTTTTTGGGCAATTATTTGTTATGCCCGATCTTTTGCCAGGCCGTCACATTCTCAGATCATTTCTGCAGGAGATCCGGGATGAGCTCAGGCTCTTGAATCAGAAGATGGAGAAGAAATGAGCCTTGCCACTGCTAAGTAATTCCTTCCCCCTAATATTAAGCATTTAGGGAATTGAACCAGTATTAGGGACCATTTGGGGGATGTTTAGTATCAGGGGGATGGGACTGTGATTTAAGTTTGATTATCATCATTGAAAAAACAACAGAGAGGACAATGAGATGAAGTCAGACTCTTGAAAACCAAGCACTGCCTTATTTATGTGGTTTCATAGGATATTTCAATGGGTATGTGCACATAGTATGTGTACCAATAAAACATGGATACGTTCTAGTATTGATAAAGTTATATATCACAAAGGAAGGGGTATTGCAACTGGGTACTGGTCAACAAGAAAGTGATTGAGCAGCGACAAAACCGGAATTTAGCATTAGTTTAAACAACAAAAGAGCATGATCATTCATTGTGAGTACTTCACCAACAAAGGGTGCATCTCCGAGTGGAAGCCCCCTCTTTTGTGGTCCCATTGCTCTGGTTTCGATCATTCTAGGCACTGGCTTGTAGGACCTATGACGTTGGAGATGGTGCGAGTGCAGAAATGATAGCGCAGCACATGTGTATGCATATATAATATCTAATTAATCTGAAAAAAATAAATCAAATCATGGATTTTTCTGGTTTCCCACCATCTCTGCGGTCCCTATCCCGGACTTTTGCAAAGCAGGCGAGATACTGGGATGTCCGCGGTGGCTCCCATGGCACCCATATGCTGTGCCCCAAACCAGTCCTGAGTTCCATACGTTCAGAGTGGCTCTAAGCGAAATGTCGGGGTGGCTCTAAGCATATCGCACCGAGACTTCCATGCGTAACATGCTGCATCCCTTGGATCATGTGCCAGACCGTGCGTTTCATTATAGGCTGCAGTTGAACACGTATAAATGATTGATGGAAAAGTATTGCGGTTTCACAGTATCCAAGATGCTCGTGGTGTGCCCCCACCCAGACAACCAAACGCAACCTTTCATCGACGAGGTCCCCTGCATGCAGCCAGAGGTTCAAAGCATGCTGGCTTTCTAGCAGAAGGACATGCGTGGGGGTTCTTCGCAAGAAGATGATTTGGATGTGCGTATCAACCAAGAACGTCAAGACATGGAATTGGAAGCCCAGCTTGAGCTTGAGAACCCTGATCAAGAGGAAGACCTTCAAAATTTGGCAACACTGCTTGCAGGTGACCTTCATATAGCCCTGCCCCGGCTGGCACTGCTGATGATGATGCCGGCGATTCTGCCCGCTATTCTGCCCATGATCGGTTGAAAAAACGGAGGCTCACGAAAGGACTGCGCAGAGCGCGCAGGTTTTGATGATTTGACTGCAATCGCCTCACAAGTGACCTACGTGACGCGACTACAAATGAGTTCAACATCCTCGAGAGGTGCGAACAATTGTGGACTTTTGTGCAGGGTGGACATGCTGCTTGGGATGACAGTTTGGTTCCCTTCGGGGCCGCTGCCATTGCATGCGCGTTGAACCGGACTGGTTCGCATATGTTCATTGGTGACAATGCCTTCTTTTGTTGCTCATTGAAGGCGGTAAATACATCCGTGTCCATGGGGGATTTTGCTACATCTACAACGGGAATGGTGCTTTTTAGCCTTACTCAGGGATTCCACCGTAAGTGCTTCTGTTCCGCGTGTGCAAAACTCTCACTCAGCTGGAAGGCTTCTTTCGACGGATGAGCCCTGGCACCCCCAAGAACAGAAGAGGTAATCCTGTGAGCCTTAGCTTCTGACCTGGCTCGCTTTTGTACTCCTTCACTCTTCCTTGAAGCGTGCGAAAAGGCATCTGTGTTCAATCAAAAAGCCTGGGGATGCCTTTGGTCCTTTGGTGAACGCTTGGATGAAGAGGCATTTGGAGATGAAGCTCAGCCTGACTTGGCCGACGCAGGTGGACACCAAGACAATGCTTGGACAGTGGCCTTGGTGGAAATTATGCCAGCCCTCGCGTGGCGACATGATGCATGACAAGCTGATCTCCTTGATTGTTGAATGGTGCGAAACTCCACCATCGTGCGGCAAGTGTGTAGCATATATATATATATATATGGATACCTGTGTCAAGTATATGATACAAGCCAAGAACGGCCAGTACAACACATTGCAAAATCTTCGGGAAACAATTGCAACATATTAGGCTGTATCTTTTTTGAACGCGTGCAGATTTTTGAAAAGGCATGATGTTCGAGTTGTGCGAATCATACCCCCGAATCATATCCCGAATCATGCCCCCGAATCATACCCCCAACAATCACAATTATGAATGTTTCTTTTGGGATTGTTTGGGATTGCATTGGCCTCACTAGTTTAAAAAAATAGACCTGACAAGCTAGTTGACCAGTGTTGGCCCGATCCGATGATCCCTGGCTACCTTCACATACCTTCACGACATGAGTGCCACGTGCACATTATTATCCCTAAGCTGGCTGGCTCTGGGTGGCTGGCTGGCTGGCTAGGTGGCTGGCTGGTGGCGGGTGGCTGGCTGCCTGGCTGTGTAGGTGGCTATGGCAGTTGCTGCTGCTGGTTGGGTGGGCTGGCTAGTTGCAGCTGGCTGGGTGCGTGGCTGGCAGCTAGGTGGCTAGGTGGCTGGCTCTCCTGCCTCCTGGCTGTGGCTGGCTAAAGTCAAGGCTAATTAATATACTTGACATGCTTGCTGTGCTGTTTGATGAGGCTGATGAGGAGGATGAGTCTGGCTGTGGCTAGCTGGCTGGCTGGCTGGCAGCCAAACCAAAAATCCGTCGAAGAGGAACAGTAGCCGCCTAAGCGTAGCTGAGCTAAAGGTACATCAGAAGAACATCCAGAAGACACGCTGGCAGGCCCGGATATAGATCATAGATGTGTATTTAGATCTTCAGATTCTTCATATTCAGGTCCGGCCCGAGGTCGTCTGACAGGTCGAGCCATGCAGCCATTAAGTAGCAATCGTGGTAGGTTGACGGTGGAAAAAAAGAGACTCAAGCAACAAAGCTTCGAGAATCCAAAAAAAATGTGTTTCCGAATCATACCCCAAACCATACCCGAATCATACCTCAAACTTCCCAAGTCTGAACCTTGGTACGTTTGCAAGATCAGAACTTGTGTCCTGTGAGCATAAATCTTTTCTTCGCAGCCACTCGCCACGCTCTAAGCCTCCTGCTGCTTCTGAGAAAAATCCGGCAGCAGCATCCTGCAGCGGCATCCTGCAATGGCAAGAAACATGCCAACTCCAAAGCGCACACACCACTTTAACTGCAGCACCTTGAAGCAGCACCCTGCTGCGGCATCAGCAGGCCAGCTCCAGAACGGACACGCCACTCTAACAGCTGCACCCTGCAGCAGCAGCAGCGTGCAGCAGCACCCTTCACTAGCACCCTCGCAGCACGAGTTGGGTACATTACGTACCCCCCTTGCAGCACCCTCAAGCATCACCTTCGCAGCAGCACCGGCAGGCTAGCTCGACAGCACCCTCACCGGCATCCGCTCACCAGCATGCCCGCCCCAAAGCATGTTTTAAAGGACGCCACTCTGACAGCAGCACCTTCAAGCATCACTTTCAGGCAGCACCTGCAGCAGCACCCTGAGAGCCACCAGCCTGCCCGCTCCAAACTGCACACACACCACTCTGACAGCAAGCAACCCTGCACCAGCAGCTTGCAGTGGCACTCCAACGGCACCACCATGCCCGCTCCAAAGCGCACACACCACTCTGACAGCAGCACGCACAGCGGCAACAGAATGCCAGCTCCAAAGCGCTCCACGTAGGGTATAATTTAACCACCTTTGAGACATTTTGGTGGTTAGATGTGGTTAGTGTTTCCCCACATCCTCCATGTAAATCAAAGTCCGCGAATCACACTCGCGAATCATACCCCGAATCACACCCACGAATCATACCCCCTAGACAAACATCCCGGGCTGCATGCGGCATTTTGAGACATACCCATGCATTCCGCACCCTTTGCTGGACCCTGTGTTGGAAGCTCAGGTTGGACGACTGCGTAAATTCTATTCTCAGACATTCTGGGCGAATCATGATGTCTTCCTGAGAAGCCTTGGCGTTAGCAAAGCGCAGGTTGAACGTTGACCGTTGCTTATTGGAGTCTCGCCTGGAGGCGTCGGGCAAAGCCTTTAATCCTCACATCTAGACAGCATGTTGGGTCACAGCCACGGCTTTTTTGATCCCAACGTATGGTTCAACGAGGATGAGCTTCGTCAGCAAGTAGAGTCTTTTGCCAGGTGCATTGTCATCACCGGACAGGAGGCACCAGAGACCCACCGAAACCCATATGGGTACACAACACGTATGTTCTCCATATTGGGGTGGAAGCGCTTGGAAGTCAATCGGATGATGCGATTTGCCGGCATCGATTCCAAATTTCAATCTGCCTTCAGACGCGCTCTTATCCACAAGCGAAAGGCTCGCTTTCATCACCAGACAACCCTTCATCATTTGCATGAAAACCATGAACTCGATGGGCACTTCGTGGCAGACCCTGCTTGGAAGCAATTCTTGATCAGCGGCCCTGCGTGTGCTGCAGGACTGAAGGTTCAACATGCTTTTGAATGTCAGTATGGCCAAGAGCGGTGCCTCAAGATGATTGACTATGCCACAGGAGGTGATGGCCATCTAACAGAAGACAAAATGAGAGAGTCGTGCAGACTGAAGCTACGCGTGCGTCACAGTGATGCAGTTGATGCTGGCGCGGGTGTTGTCCTGGAGATTGAAAGTAGCCAAGCTGTTCGGGACGAGGAGGAATCGAAGTTTGAAAATCTGCGGAAAGCACTTATGGAGCCTTTGCTGCAAAATACAAAATCTGACTTTTCCTTCTTCGAGTTTTCAAAGAAGAAATTCTCGGGTGCAGACAGTTTGCCAGACAGTAAAATCTTACCAAAATAGCAGAGTGATGATATACTTTTCTATCTTTTAGTGTGTTTCTGTATAGCAAACTGCAGATTCAAAAAATAATTAGCATTAGCTTTAACTGTATAGGTATTTCCACATTATGTACCCCCATTAATGGGTAAATCAT